ACAATTGTCGAAGGTCGTCACCTCAAAGACGAAGATATTGTAGGTAAAAATGATGCTTATGTGGAGCTTTATCTCGACAAAGATTACAAGCAGCGAACGACTACTGTTCATAATTCGAATAGTCCAACGTGGAACGAAAAATTTATTTTGTAAATTGTACTCTCAATTAAAATTCCTTCACGTTTTTCTTATCTTTCGTTTTAGTCATTTACAAAAGCATGATGATGATTTACATCTTCATATCTACGATGATGACGTAGTTGGTCGCGATTCAGTTGGCTCCGCAAAAATCGATTTGAAGAAACATGTCTTCAACAAAGGACGTTACGACGAATGGGTCAAGTTACCAGCGATGCTCGGCCTTCGTTCTAAAGGTGAAATTCATGTCATCATTGAACATCATGTAAGAATTTCTTTTTTTTCTCCTCAAATGTAGTTTTTACGTTAATTTTCATATTCTAGCCATAATACACATTTCAACTAGCAAGTACAAGTAGTGGCCTCAGATTAAATTATGCTTTTTGTAATTTGTTCACGGCTATCCTTTACATGTAAACAAGAATATATAATAAAAGTTGATGGAGAGAAATCATCATTCAAATAACTGTTCGTGAGATGTTGCGAAAGAAGACGTTGTTGTGATGACGGGAAATACATCAGAAGAGTTTGCTTTCTAGAAAAATGTTTTCGTTTACCTCCATTATTATAATAACTTTCAAGGCTATGATGAATTCTCTCATCCCATATAGATTCAGAAATCAACTCACTGAGATATCTTACATAGATCGATATTCTGTGCTGAAATATCAAGTTATACTGCTGTAGCAAAACATTGAAATATATTCTCCATAGATGATTCACACACTCGTCTTAGACATACATTCTTCGAACCGAACTGCCTTACAGTTAACATCGAAAATGTTTATTTGAGTTTCTGTCAACAAAATAGAAAATACTATGAGAATATTTGTATGTTAACAGTGTCTCAGAATACGGACGTCAGTTGACCCACGATCTAATGTAAGAATTTCTGGTTTTCCATCGCCATTAATGTCGATTACCACTACTAAAAATGGAACGGCACCAGTTGGATAGATGATTTCATTGAGAAAAGTGCCATTACCACTGTTGAGAAAAATACCAACGCTGTTTGTATTCGTATATACGACAATAATATCCGAACTATTATCATTATTGATATCTACGACAGCCAGTGCAGATGGAGACGAGTTTGTTGGATAAATGATCTGATTGGGAAATAAACCGTTGCCATTATTGAAAAAAGTACTAATACTATTTGATCCTGAATTTGTAACGATAATGTCGATTTGACCATTGGAGTTAATATCAACGGCAGCAACTGCAGTTGGACTACTGCCTGTCGCATAGGTAACTTGCGAAGAGAAAGTACCGTCGCCATTGTTCAGAAGGACGCCGATATTGGCCGAATTTTGATTGGTAACGATAATATCTAGTAAATGATCGTTGTTTACATCTGCCACTGCTACAGTTTTCGGTTGACTACCAGTTGGGTACGTTACTTGTGAAGCCAGCAGACCATTCCCCATATTGAGCAAGACACCAACACTGTTCTTATTCATATTTGCCACAACAACATCATTTTTATTATCATGATTGATGTCGACAATTACAATCGATGTAGAATCCGAATAGCTAGCATAAGAAGCTTGATAGACAAATGTGCACTGACCAACATTGAGGAGCACACTAATATTGGTGGAAGCCTGATTCATAACAACAATATCTGGTTGTCCATCGCCATCCAAATCACCGAGTGCCACGCAGTTTGGATACGGGCCCACTGAATAACTAGTCGAATGAGGAAAATTGCCTGCGCCATCATTACAAAAAACCATCACGTTATTGCCCATAAAGTTCGTAATAACCACGTCTGCTTTATTATCAGAATTAATATCCATTACAGCTAATCCACTAGGGCCGCTACCCGTTCGTATAGAACTCCCGCTAACATACGTAGCACTGTTACCTGTAAAATACGAAAAAAAGTGTCTTTGCGTGTCCTCTTGAAAAACATGGTTTTCTTTTCGACTCACCCGCATCTGTTGATCTGTCATCGATAACAGTCATACTCTGCACACCAGTCACCGTTGACATAACTCCACGAGTCGTTAGCCTATCAGAAAACAACTGACATATGTTATTAGATGGCATGTATGTTGCTGTGCGACATGTGTTAGTCGCTAGGCAAGCGATTTCACAATATCGACTCGTGGAAACAGTGACTGACGTCGAAGGTGAACAGCATGCATCGTTGCATTGATATAACTTATCGTTTACTTTAGAAAATCGTATCGAACGGAAATCTTGTGAACTTGATCCTATCGCAAACATCAGTAGTCCTAACAAAACTTGGTATGCCATAGTCAATGAATTCTGAGAAGAAATGAGCGAGGTATGAAGTAAATGTATTTTATAATGGTGAATTCTCTTTTATCTTGCGCGGTACGCTTACTAATGAAAAATTCTTTTAGAACTAAACCTAATGAATACGAAAGGTTGCCTTAAAAGCATTTGCAAGAGAAAGAAAATAATGTATATCGATATATATTGCTCTTATGTTTGTGCGTCTTTCTCTGGTGGGCGTTGATATTCGTCGTTTGAAAGTAAATAGATAACGATCAAGGCGAATAAACTTGCGAATATGCCATAGAAGTTCATCATTAAACGTCGCACACGTTGACTGTCATTTGCTGCAAAAAACGATGATGTCACACCATGTTCTGATAAACCGGTTAGAATCGCGACGACAGCCGAGAGAAATATGACTTTGCCCCAAAGTCGATGACTGAAATAGCAATGCATTTATTAGAGATAACGAAAGATAAGGATATCTAGCCATACCTTGGCATATACGCTTTTCGAACATTTAAACTCAACTGTGGGACTAAGAAACAGATAAAACCGCAGATCCATTGAAGAACGAAGAGACTCAATGTAATTAAACCGATCCATGAATGGTAAGACATGAAATGTGATCGTTTGCCAAGTTGTTTACTTCGAATGATCGCAGTAAGTCCAATAAGTCCACCAGCCAATGACACCAAGAGAAAAATGGCATGAAGAATTTTAACAATTAATTTTGGTGTTGTTCGAAATGTTCGATACAAGAGCATTGCGTTTCCATAGCAAAACAGCAGACCGAGAGTCATCATTAGTGGATGATAACTGAATGGATTTGTTTGCCAATCATATGTATTTGTAGAAACACGTTTATCGAATAGTAAACCAACGGAAACAACGCTTAAAAAGCCGAGTAGTTCACCCAAAACTAACAACTTTCGATAGCTTGATTCGGGATTTCTTCCTACTAGAGTATACATATTTCTTACCAGTTGAATATTCCCTTTATGATGAAATAAATATGCCGCACATCACATGATAGAGAAGGAAGAAAAACATTTTCTTTATACGTACACGTGGTCTTCTAAGCAGCGAACGATATATGCCTACTACCATAAAACGCATTAATATTCTTATTTGTTCTGCTATATATCATTCGTTGACTGGGACCATTTGGATAGAAGCATCTATATCTTCTTGCCATCGCTAATTATGCACGTCAGTTCCATGTAAATTTTCTGACAAATATATCAATAACTGATCGCATTTGTTTATTTAAGGGATCACCCTAATAAACTATGCTATATTTAAATTAGCTAACTTATGACGATACACTCTTTCATCTATCCCGTCATCCGTAGCATGGATACTGTTTCAATAAATAAACAATAATCTGCTCTCCTGAATATCTTTCTCGTGAGAATCTCTTCCGTCTACTGTGACTTTGGCATGGAGAGGAAGATCTGTAGGCTGGATTGAATTATTACAGGAACAATAAAACATACATACTATTTCTCGATTATTCTTCATTAACGATACTATGCAGAGAAATTCTAAGTCTACATTTATTTTTATTCAACAACCTCCAATACAAAGTATAACAGCAAATAGTACATTGCTCGCATCTTGCGAAAATAAGTTCGACTGAAGCGTTAGTCTTGCCGAGTTCTCTAGTTTTGTATGGAATTCTACTTGTAGCTTAAGTAGATAATAGACTATTGATAGTGCGTACAATAAAATTTATATGAATTATTACAATTGTTGGACATGTTATAAGTCATACATATGGATAGAAATACTTTCTTTTCAATATCAACAAACTATATATTTTATGAAGAAAAATAACATATTTCTACTATACCCTGAGTTGAGTACGGGAGGGTACGTAATTAATAACAGATTTATATCATTGAAAAAGAAGCCGAAACGCACTTTTTCATCATTTTTGACGTGATTAATATTCATCTATATGGGCGTTATTTCATATAGAACGAGTAATGAGTATCGACACGTCACAACGAAAAGTACCATAATTCGAATCGAAAAGTCAAAACATATACAGCATTTCATTCATGGCTTGTGTCGAAAAGCACGATGAGCATTGGAGTTATAACGATCCAAACCAATGGCCGAAATTTTTTCTCGCCGCATCCGGCCTTTCTCAATCACCGATCGATATACCAACAGCTGATACAGTTTTTCAGTCCTATCCACCATTTATATTCTCCGAAAAATATCATTCGAATGAACTATTCAAATTAGTCAACAATGGTCATCAAGTGGCCGCGACATTAGCTGATCACACATATGGACAGAGTGAAAAAGACTTATGGTTTACAGGTGGTGGCATTAAGGGAGTGTTCTATTTTGTTAATTTTCATTTACATTGGGGCAAAAATGATCGACACGGTTCGGAACATGAAATCGATGGTCATCGGTATCCAGCTGAAGCTCATGTTGTTTTCAAAAACCATGAAACTGGACAAATAGCTGTCTTTGCATTTCTATTCACCGTTACGAATCATTGGTACGAGGAAAATCTCGAATGGGAGAAATATTGCGATGCCGCCGGTCAATTAATGAACATCGATGATACTATTCAGTGCATGTTCAATCTTAGTCGCCTTATGCAAGCTAACGAAAGACGGTTCTTTCGTTATATTGGAAGTTTAACGACGCCGCCATGCAGCGAAGGCGTCATATGGACCATATTTACGAATACGGTGCCGGTAAAAGAAGAAAGTTTGAATCAACTTCGTCAAAATGTCATGCGGAAAGTTTATCGACCCGTTCAGCCATTGAATAATCGTGTGGTTTTCATAAGCAATTAATATCGATATCGTATCACATTCCAATAAAGTTGATAGAACAACAAATGGCAAAGAGAAAGGAACTGACTATAGTTTTATTACGTATATCGCCTTATTTTATCATAGTTGTAAAGTTTGCTCCGTATATACGCCATCTACATAGAAAAAGTTATTTTTGGAAATGATGTTCAAACAAAATGAGTAAGAAAAAACTTTTTTTTTCTGCATATTACGTTTCATTAGAGTATGAAGTATCATTATGCGCTCTTGATAGTTTCCCGTTTCTTTCACATGTGTTCTTTTCATTGGAAAGATTTTTTTCAAACACACGAGATAATAGCCTTCTTATCAGTGTCATCGAGTAGAGACAGTTTGTAGATCAACAAGAATAAATGTCTCATGTTATTCCGCTCAGCGATAACTCATGCAACTGGTATTTGCTTACAGTTGATTTTTTCCTATTTACACTCGAAGATAGAATCGGAACATTTTGAGATTAGCTCCATCGGACTGTCATTTTTTGTTTATTTCTAATACTTTTTTTCGTTCTTCTTCTGCTATGCTATTTATTCAGCTCGCAATCTCTTGGTCCAAAACGACCGGTGAAGCTGCGCAATCAACTGTGAGTAAGAGAAAAGAGACTGATTTGTTTCTCTATACTCAATACTCGCTTTGCACTCAATCATACTCGTACTGATTTTTGTTCTCTCCTCTCGAGTATACGACATATACTTGCGTTATTCTCTTCCTACATAGTTATTTACACATTAACTCACCGGAAGTTTAAATTTCAACGAGGAGAGAACGAATCGGTTCAATATGCTTGTGGGTCGACCGGGACAACATACTTTTTACGCAATGAATAGTTCATTTTCTCGCTTATGTGATAAAAACATTAATAAATCATCAAATTCGCTTCGAGCGAGAAAATAAAGTGAATACACTTTTGTTCCTCGCTTTACATGCTATCTCTATATTTATATGAAATATTTCCTTCTTCCTTTCTCATTTAAGATGTCTTGTACAACGCACGATGATGACTACTGGGATTATGACACTCCATCCGAATGGCAAAAGCATTTTCCTTCAGCAGCTGGACTGTGCCAGTCACCAATCGACATCAATACGCATCGAACGATTGCATGTCATTATCCTCCATTCGTTTTTTCTGAAAAATATCATTCGAATGAATTATTCAAATTGATTAATAGTGGCTTTCAAGTCACTGCAACGCTAGCTGAACATACAAACGGTCAAAGCGAAAAGGATCTATGGTTTATCGGAAGCGGACTACCCGGTCGATTCTATTTCGTCAATTTTCATTTACATTGGGGTCGCAATGACCGACATGGATCCGAACATGAAATTGACGGTCATCGATATCCAGCCGAAGCACACGTTGTCTTCAAAAACCGCGAAAGTGATCAAATAGCTGTTTTTGCATATTTGTTTTTCGTTACGAATCAAATGCAAAAAGGGAACAAAGAGTGGGAAAAGTATTGTGATGCTGCCAGTCAACTGACCACCATTAACGACACCGTTCAGTGTATGTTCAATCTTAGTCAATTGATGCAAGCAAATGAAAGACAGTTCTATCGCTACACTGGCAGTTTAACAACGCCACCATGTACTGAAGGTGTTGTTTGGACGATATTTACTGGTAAAATCGCAATAAAAGAAGAAAGTTTGAACAAACTTCGTCAAAACGTCATGCGCAAAGTCTATCGGCCCGTTCAACCATTGAATGGTCGAACAATATTTCGAAATTATTAACGCTTGAGCATTAGCCCTTTTTTATCTTTACCTTAGGCATAGTTTGATGTTGATTTGACTTTATAATAAAGTTTGAAGTACCCAGAAGTTTTTATTTCTATTCTGGGGATAAAACAAGAAGAGTTCTTTTTTCCATCACTTGATAAACAGATAAAGTTTTTTTAATTATCTCCGACGATATTTTAATGCAGGATAATGCTAGTCATAGCAAAAGCTTGTCAGATTATTTCCTATCGGAATCTTCACCGTTGCAATGTACTAATTCTTTTTCAGTACCTATTGATATTTATCAGATAGGAATAAATCGAAACGAAATTCGTTTGAAGAACGAACAGGTACGTGTTAGTTGTCGGCCTCACGGGCTATGTTTCAATATCCGCCGTTTTTTCTTCAATTAGTACACTTTCTTCGTAATTTTCTCACATTAAATCGGATATCGCCGCTATGTCGGATTTATCCAAGCAAAGCTCCTCAGTAAAAAAGATCGAGTCTTTTATCAAAGGGAAAATTATCTGATTCATCACAGACTTTTCTGTTCGAACAAGTAGAAAGAATTCATCGTTAATATCATCGATTCGTTTTTATTGCGAATTTTGCTCATATTTCAGAATTCGGTGATTTTCCCAATCAGCAACGTAAAGATTCTCTTCGTTGTCGAATGCTAAAGCAGTTGGATGATGTAACTGATACGATGAATTTCCCAGCCCGTGTACACCAATAATAATCGAACCTTCTGCATCACCTTCATGCCAGAGAACGATTCGATGGTTACGCATATCAGCGATATAGATTTGACCCAAACCATCGACGAGTACTCCTCGAGGATTAATCAGCTGGTTCAGACTATTACCTCGTCCATTTCCGCCAGCAACAAGAATTCCTTCTTTGGCGTCTTTCGTCCATTTCATAACACGGTGGTTTTCACCATCCGATATGTAGATCGAATAGTCTTCATCTACGAAGATATAAGTGGGATAATTGAGTTGATCATATCGATCACCAGCGCCATTTCCACCAGCAACTATCGCTCCAGCCGGCTCCTCTTGATGCCATCGTTTCACTTCGTTTTTCTTCCAATCAGAAACATAAATGTAGCCTGATTTATCCATTGCNTTAGCCATGTATGCTACATTCACCAAAGTGGCAAATACATTCAATCCTGTCAAGATTCAGGCCAATACTCGACACAAACTACGAATGAAACGCATTCTTCATTAATGGAAGAAAGAAAAATTTACATTTATCTTGAAAAACAGTTTGACATTTTCTTCCCTACATTTCTTTTATTTAGCTCTCCTTCCATAATACACGTCCGCATCGTTTTCTCCGTGTGTAATTTTGATTGAAAATAAAATTTATCAACGTAAAAGAAGTCAAACAATTTGACGAGATGATCACTCAATTTTCTCCTCTGACAACTCATGTCACGGCATTTTTTTCTTTTCAAATAACTGCGCATAGTTTTGTTTCATAAGTGAACTACAGAATATAAAAATAAAGATTTTCTCTCTTTCTTTCTCTTCTACCGCTCGATTCCATAGTGATGACAATGAAGTAGAACGAGAAGAAATATTCATCAAGAATTTCTGGTCTTTCCTTTCGTCGTCTCATTTTATCGTGAAACGCAAGTAAACTCAGTTGGTATACACTTTGATTATTTATTTTCATTTCTGAGATTGTTACAATGAGTCATCCACACGGTACATTAGAAGTTACAATTGTCGAAGGTCGTCACCTCAAAGACGAAGATATTGTAGGTAAAAATGATGCTTATGTGGAGCTTTATCTCGACAAAGATTACAAGCAGCGAACGACTACTGTTCATAATTCGAATAATCCAACCTGGAACGAAAAATTTATTTTGTAAATTGTGTTCTCAATAAAAATTCCTTCACCTTTTTCTGATCTTTCGCTTCAGTCATTTACAAAAGCATGATGATGATTTACATATTCATATCTATGATGATGACGTAGTTGGTCGCGATTCAATTGGCTCTGCAAAAATCGATTTGAAGAAACATGTCTTCAACAAAGGACGTTATGACGAATGGGTCAAGTTACCAGCGATGCTCGGCCTTCGTTCTAAAGGTGAAATTCATGTCATCATCGAACATCATGTAAGAATTTCATTTTTTTTCTCCTTAAATGTAGTTTTTACGTTAATTTTAATATTCTAGCCGTAATACGCATTTCAACTAGCAAGTACCAGTAGTGACCTCAGATTAAATCATGCTTTTTGTAATTCGTTCACGGCTATTCTTTACATGTAAACAAGAATATATAATAAAAGTTGATAGAAAAAAAAGCATCATTCAAAATCACTTTGTTCGTGAGGTGTTGCAAAAGACGGTGCTGTTGTGATGACGGGAAATAGAATAGAAGAGTTTTGTTTGTAGAAAAGTATTTTCTTTTACCTTATATTATTATAATAAATCTCACGGTTATGCTTAATTCTGTCGTCCCATATAAATCAAGGAACCAACTCAATGAGATATCTTGTATAGATCGATATTCTGTGCTGAAATATCAAGTTATATTGCTGTAGCAAAACATTCAAATGTCTTCTCCATAGATGATGCACACACTCGCCTTATAGAAATACATTCTCGGAACCCAACTGCCTTTCGACCTGAACTACTTTACAGTTAACATCGAAAATATTTATATGAGTTTCTGTCAATGAAATAGAAAATAATATGAGAATATTTGTATGCTAACAATGTCTCAGAATACGGACGTCAGTTGACCCACGATCTAATGTAAGAATTTCCGGTTTTTTATCACCGTTAATGTCGATTGCTACTACTAAAAATGGAATGGCACCAGTTGGATAGATGATTTCATTGAGAAAAGTACCATTACCACTGTTGAGAAAAATACCAACGTTGTTTGTATTCGTATATACAACAATAATATCCGAACTATTATCGTTATTGATATCTATGACAGCCAGTGCAGATGGAGACGAGTTTGTTGAATAAGTAATCTGATTGGGAAATAAACCGTTGCCATTATTGAAAAAAGTACTAATACTATTTGATCCTGAATTTGTAACGATAATGTCGATTTGACCATTGGCGTTAATATCAACGGCAGCGACTGCAATTGGGCTACTGCCTGTCGCGTAGGTAACTTGCGAAGAGAAAGTATCGTCACCATTGTTCAGAAAGACGCCGATATTGGCTGAATTTTGATTGGTAACGATAATATCTAGTAAATGATCGCCGTTTACATCTGCCACTGCTACGGTTTTTGGTTGACTACCAGTTTGATACGTTACTTGTGAAGCCAGTATACCGTTGCCCTTATTGAGCAGGACACCAACACTGTCCTTATTCATATTTGCCACAATAATATCATTTTTATTATCATGATTGATGTCGACAATTACAATCGATGTAGAATCCGAGCCGGTGACATAAGTAGCTTGATAGACAAATGTGCACTGACCAACATTGATGAGCACACTAATATTGGTGTAAGCCTGGTTCATAACAACAATATCTGGTCGGCCATCGCCATCCAGATCACCGAGTGCCACACAGTTTGGATAAGGACCCATTGAATAAATAGTCGAATGAGGAAAATTGCCTGCGCCATCATTACAAAAAACCATCAAGTTATTGTCCACAAAGTTTGTAATAACCATGTCTGCTTTATTATCAGAATTAATATCCATTACAGCTAATCCACTAGGACCGTTACCCGTTCGTATAGAACTCCCACTAGCATACATAGCACTATTACCTATAAAATACGAAAAGGAATGTGTCTTTGCATGTCCTCTTACAATACATTATTCTCTTTTCGACTCACCCGAATCTGTTGATCTGCCATCGATAACAGTCATACTTTGCACACCAATCACCGTTGACAAAGCTCCACGAGTCGTTAGCCTATCAGAAAACAACTGACATATGTTATAAGATGGCGTATATGTTGCTGTGCGACATGTATTATTCGCTAAGCAAGCGATTTCACAATATCGACTCGTGGAAACGGTGATTGATGTCGAAGGTGAACAGCATGCATCGTTGCATTGATATAACTTATCGTTTACTTTAGAAAATCGTATCGAACGGAAATCTTGTGAACTTGTTCCTATCGCAAACATCAGTAGTCCTAACAAAACTTGGTATGCCATAGTCAATGAACACTGAGAAGAAATGAGCGAAATATGAAGTAAATGTATTTTATAATGGTGAATTCTCTTTCATCTTGTGCGATACGATTACTAATGTAAAATTCTTTTGAAACTAAACTTAATGAACACGAAAGGTTGGTTTAAAAGCATTTGAAAGAGAAAGAAAAGTTTGCTTTAGCAAGAATAATGTATATCGATATATATTGTTCTTATGTTTGTGCGTCTTTCTCTGGTGGGCGTTGATATTCGTCGTTTGAAAGTAAATAGATAATGATCAAGGCGAATAAACCTGTGAATATACCATAGAAGTTCATCATTAAACGTCGCACACGTTGACTGTCATTTGCTGCAAAAAACGATGATGTCGTACCATGTTCTGATAAACCGGTTAGAATCGCGACGACAGCCGAGAGAAATATGACTTTGCCCCAAAGTCGATGACTGAAATAGCAATGCATATATTAGCGATAACGAAAGATAAGGATATCTAGCCATACCTTGGCATATACGCTTTTCGGATATCTAAACTCAACTGTGGGACTAAGAAACAAATAAAACCGCAGATCCATTGAAGAACGAAGAGACTTAATGTAATTAAGCCAATCCATGAATGGTAAGACATGAAATGTGATCGTTTGCCAAGTTGTTTACTTCGAATGATCGCAGTAAATCCAATAAGTCCACCAGCCAATGATACCAAGAGGAAAATGGCATGAAGAATTTTGACAATTAATTTTGGTGTTGTTCGAAATGTTCGATATAAGAGCATTGCGTTTCCATAGCAAAACAAGAGACCGAGAGTCATCATTAGTGGATGATAACTGAATGGATTTGTTTGCCAATCATATGTATTTGTAGAAATACGTTTATCGAATAGTAAACCAACGGAAACAACACTTAAAAAACCGAGTAGTTCACCCAAAAATAACAACTTCCGATAACTTGATTCAGGATTCCTTCCTACTAGAGTATACATATTTCTTACCAGTTGAATATTGCCTTTATGATGAAATAAATATGCCGCGCATCACATGATAAGAGAAGGAAGAAAAACATTTTCTTTATACATACACGTGGTCTCTTGAGAAGCGAACGATATATGCCTACTACCATAAAACACATTAATATTATTATTCGTTCTGCTATATATCATTCGTTGACTGGAACCATTTGGATAGAAGCATCTATATCTTCTTTGCTATCGTCAATTATACACGTCAGTTCGATCTAGATTTTCTGACAAGAGGTCATACGAATTCTGACAAATATATCAACAGCTGATCGCATTGGTTTAATTAAGGAATCATCCTACTAAATTATGCTATGTTTGAATTAGTTAACTTATGACGATATACTCTTTCATCTATCCCGTCATTCGTGTCATGGACACCGTTTTAATAAAAAAAGCAATAAACTGTTCTCCTGGAAATCTTTCTCGTGAGAACCTCTTCCACCTTTGACATGGAGAGGAAGAATTGTTGTGAAGAACTGTACGTTGGATTGAATTGTTACAGGAGTCCTGACACATGCATACTATTTCTCGATTATTCTTCATTGACGATCATACAGAGAAATTCTAAGTCTGCATTCATTTTTATTCAATAATCTCCAATGAAAAGTATAACAGCAAATAATACATTGCTCGCATCTCGCGAAAAAGACGCAGCATTAGTCTGGCCGAGTTCTCTAACTGTGTATCGAATTCTAGTTGTAGTTTAATTAGACAATAGAATATCAATAGTACGTACAATAAAATTAATTATTATCTATACACATTTAGACTCTTATGAACGAATAAAATTTATATGAATTATTAAAATTGTTCGACATGTTAAGTCATACTCATGGATAGAAACACTTTCTTTTCAATATCAACAAACTATATATTTTATGAAGAAAAATAACATATTTCTACTACCCTGAACTGAATACGAGAGGGTACGTAATTAATAACAGATTTATCATTGAAAAGAAAACCGAAACGCACTTTTTCATGATTTTTGACGTCATTAATATCCACCTATATGGGCGTTATTTCATATCGAACGAGTAATGAGTATCGACACGTCACAAACAAAAGCACCATAATTCGAATCGAAAAGTCAAAACACATACGATATTTCATTCATGGCTTGTGTCGAAAAGCACGATGAACATTGGAGTTATAATGATCCAAACCAATGGCCGAAATTTTTTCTCGCCGCATCCGGCCTTTCTCAATCACCGATCGATATACCAACAGCTGATACAGTTTTTCAGTCCTATCCACCGTTTATATTCTCCGAAAAATATCATTCGAGTGAATTATTCAAATTAGTCAACAATGGTCATCAAGTAGCGGCGACATTAGCTGACCGCACATATGGACAGAGTGAAAAAGATTTATGGTTTACAGGTGGTGGCATCAAAGGAGTGTTCTATTTTGTTAATTTTCATTTACATTGGGGTAAAAATGATCGACACGGTTCGGAACATGAAATCGATGGTCATCGGTATCCAGCTGAAGCTCACATCGTTTTCAAAAACCATGAAACTGGACAAATAGCTGTCTTTGCTTTTCTATTCACTGTTACAAATCATTGGTACGAGGAAAATCTCGAATGGGAGAAATATTGCGATGCCGCCGGTCAATTAATTAACATCGATGACACTATTCAGTGCATGTTCAATCTTAGTCGTCTCATGCAAGCTAACGAAAGACGGTTCTTTCGTTATATTGGAAGTTTAACGACGCCACCATGCAGTGAAGGTGTCATATGGACCATATTTACGAACACAGTGCCGATAAAAGAAGAAAGCTTGAATCAACTTCGTCAAAACATCATGCGGAAAGTTTATCGACCCGTTCAGCCATTGAATAATCGTGTGGTTTTCATAAGCAATTAATATCGATGCCGTATCGCATTCCAATAAAGCTGATAGAACAACAAATGACCGAGAAAAAGGAATTGATTCGTTTTATTATGCAAATCGCCTTATTTTATCATAGTTCTAAAGTTTGCTTTGTATATACGCCATCTATATAGAAAAAGTTATTCTTGGAACTAATGTTCAGACAAAATGAGTAAGAAAAAACTTTTTTTTTTCTGCATATTACATTTCATTAGAGTATGAAGTATTATTATACGCTCTTGATAGTTTCCCGTTTCTTCCACATGTGTTCTTTTCTTTCTCACAAGAAAGGATTTTATTTTCATTTGAAAGATTTTTTTTTCGAACACACGCGATAATAACCTTCTTATCAGTGTCATCGAGTAGAGACAGTTTGTAGATCAACAAGAATAAATGTCTCATGTTATTCCGCTCAGCGATAACTCATACAACTGGTATTTACTTAAAGTTGATTTTTTTTCTATTTACATTCGAACATAGAATCCGAACATTTTGAGATTAACTCCATCGGAGTATCATGTTTGTTTATTTCTAATATTTTCTTCGTTCTTCTGCTATGTTATTTATAGAACTTGCAATCTTTGTCCGAAACGATCAGCAAAGCTACGTAATTAACTATAAGTAAGAGAGAAGAGACTGATTTACTTCTCTATACTCAATACTCGCTTTGCACTCAATCGTACTCGTGCTGATTTTTGTTCTCTCCTTTCGAGTATACGACGCATACTTGCGTTATATTCTCTTCCTACATAGTTATTTACATATTAACTCATCGGAAGTTTAAATTTCAACGAGGAGAGAATGAATCGGTTCAGTGTGCTTGTAGGTCGACCGAGACAACCTACTTTTTACGCGATGAATAGCTCGTTTACTCGCTTATATGATAAAAACATTAATAAATCATCAAATTCGCTCCGAGCGAGAAAAGAAAGCGAATACACTTTATTCCTCGCTTTATATGTTATCTCTATATTTATATGAAATATTTCCTTTTTCCTTTTTCATTTAAGATGTCTTGTACAACGCACGATGATGACTACTGGGATTATGACACTCCATCCGAATGGCAAAAGCATTTTCCTTCAGCAGCTGGACTGTGCCAGTCACCAATTGACATCAATACACATCGAACGATTGCACGTCATTATCCTCCATTCGTTTTTTCTGATAAATATCATTCGAATGAATTATTCAAATTGATTAATAGTGGGTTTCAAGTCACTGCAACGCTAGCTGAACATACATATGGACAAAGCGAAAAAGATCTGTGGTTTATTGGAAGTGGATTACCTGGTCGATTCTATTTCGTCAATTTTCATTTACATTGGGGTCGCAATGACCGACACGGTTCCGAACATGAAATTGACGGTCATCGTTATCCAGCCGAAGCACACGTTGTCTTCAAAAACCACGAAAGTGATCAAATAGCTGTTTTTGCATATTTATTTTTCGTTACGAATCAAACGCAAAAAGGGAACAAAGAATGGGAAAAGTATTGTGATGCTGCCAGTCAACTGACCACCATTAACGACACTATTCAGTGTATGTTCAATCTTAGTCAATTGATGCAAGCAAATGAAAGACAGTTCTATCGTTACACTGGCAGTTTAACAACGCCACCATGTACTGAAGGTGTTGTTTGGACGATATTTACTAGTAAAATCGCAATAAAAGAAGAAAGTTTAAACAAACTCCGTCAAAACGTCATGCGCAAAGTCTATCGGCCCGTTCAACCGTTGAATGATCGAATAGTATTTCGAAATTATTAATACTTGAGTATTGGCCTTGTTTTATCTTTACTTTAGGCATAATTTGATGTTGATTTGACTTTATAATAAAGTTCGAAGTACCCAGAATTTTTATTTCTATTCTGAGAATAAAATAAAAAGACTTCTTTTTTCATTACTTGATAGATAGATAAAGTTTTTTTTTAATTATCTCCGACGATATTTTAATGCAGGATAATGCTAGTCATAACAAAAACTTGTCAGATAATTTCCTCCCGGAATTCTCACCGTTGCAATGTACTAATTCTTTTTCAGTACCTATTGATATTCATCAGGTAGGAATAAATCGAAACGAAAATCGTTGGAGGAACTTCGTAATTTCCTCACATTAAATCGGATATCGCCGCTATGTCGGATTTATTCAAGCAAACTTTCTCAGTAAAAAAAGAACGATTCTTTTATCAAAGGGAAAACCATCTGATCCATCAGAGACTTTTCTGTTCGAACAAGAAGAAAAAGAGTTCGTCGTTAATATTATCGATTCATTTTTATTGCGAATTTTGCTCATACTTCAGAATTCGATGATTTTCCCAATCAGCAACGTAAAGATTCTCTTCGTTGTCGAACGCTAAAGCAGTTGGATGATGTAACTGATACGATGAATTTCCCAGTCCGTATCCACCAATAATAATCGAACCTTCTGTATCACCTTCATGCCAGAGAACGATTCGATGGTTACGCATGTCAGCAATATAGATTTGACCCAAACCATCCACGAGTACTCCTCGAGGATTAATCAACTGACTCAGACTATTACCTCGTCCATTTCCGCCAGCAACAAGTATTCCTTCTTTGGCGTCTTTCGCCCATTTCATAACACGATGGTTTTCACCATCCGATATGTAGATCGAATAGTCTTCATCTACGAAGATATAAGTGGGATAATTGAGTTGATCATATCGATCACCAGCGCCATTTCCACCAGCAACTATCGCTCCAGCCGGCTCCTCCTGATGCCATCGTTTCACTTCGTTTTTCTTCCAATCAGAAACGTAAATGTAACCTGATTTATCCATTGCCAAACCCCAGCAGTCGATATCGCTCATGAGCATTTGTTGATATTCCTTATTATGAAAAAACCACCGCATCACTCTTCGATTGTCTCGATCGCAAATGATGAAAGAGTTGTACTGTTTTTCATTAATAACATCTCTTGGACTATACAATTGATCGTATCGATTTCCGCGCCCATTCTCACCAGCAATAGTCTCGCCCCTGCTTGAATTCGAATTCCATTTGACAATACGGTCATTCCAATAATCAGCAATAATCAGATCTTTATAATTATCCAGAAAAAATCCACAAGGAAAGTACAGCTGATTGGATTGATTTCCTCCACCATTACCGCCTGCAACTGTAATTCCGTGGGGTTTCCATTTGATCGCCGGTGATTCGCCGGGTTCTGAAAAAATCATAATCTATATTGTTCATATTCTTCTACATCCTATTTACTTTTCAATGCACTTTGTCCAAACGAAGCCATTTGTGTCAAGAGCTCCTCCCGTTCTCGATAGCATTCGGACGACTGGTTTGTTAGATTTCTTACGAGTACTGTTAATAGTCTTACTTTATCCTCGAGCCAACGATACCGATCGTTTACTGAGTTCGTTTTCACCAATGGACACCGAAGAGGTAAAACATGAATATTACTCCGAGTACGAACCAACATCGAATGCGACACAAGTTTCTTTTCAATTTTCATTGTATTCATCTTAATCAGATGAACATCGATTGGTTTAGGAGTGATAATTTCATTGTCGAGATGTATCTCATTCGAAATGTTGCTCAGGTACGTTACAACGTCATCCCGAGACATGATATACGGTGTGGTAACATTTTCAGAAGGTATACGAGTTGCCAATAGTTTGCCAAGCTCTTCAATACGGTCGATATCATGCTGCGTCAAACTATGCTTTAGTGTATGACTATCAAGAAGGAGGTATTGATCATCGGTTGAATTTTTGCGGTAGAGAATGGTATTCAGAGCTTTTGCCAAACGATCTGGTCGAGTCGAGTCAGATGTTCGATACATTAAATTCCATAATTTGTCGTCCGCCTGACTTAAACGGACCTAGAGAATGAAAATATAGTTATAGGAGTGAATAGAATGAGTAGTTAACCTGTTTGAATGGTAGTTGCTGATCAAGTAACCGCTCGAGAATGGTTGGATCTTGCAAAGAACTGCCAAAACCTTCTTGAATGCGTAGTTTCATGTTGATTTTATTGATGACTTCACTAAGCAGTTGCTTGTAGTCATGATTGGTCACGACTACGGTGTCCGTCATAGAGAATTGAGCTCGAATTTGATGAAACATTGCTGTAAGAATGATTTGGTCTGTGGTGACATCGATTTGCCGTTCGACTAGTTTTTCGGGATGAAGAGAATAATGCACTTCAAAATTTGACAGATAACAGTCACTGACTAGCGATGAGAGAAGACGCTCGCATACGTCTTCGTACGTAGTGTATATTGGAAAATTGATTGATTGCAGAAAAATAGTATTTGGAAACCATTCTTGACCGATTTGATACATTTCACGAGTTTCATTGGTTCGCAGACCATTTTGAACCAAACCAATCACATTCATAGGAACCATTGCAGTGTGACATGTTTGATTACTGTCACACAAGGTTGAAAAATGCTCTTTCACATACTCGTTAACTGCTTGAATCAATTGAGAAGTATAAAGATCAATGGCAAGACTGAGTTCAGCATAGCCACTTAAGATATTTCGATGACATCGACTATTCGATGGATTAACAAGAGGAAATGGGGTGAAGAAGAAGTTCGTTGGCTTGTCAGGGTTTTGAAATAAAATCACTTCACCATTTTCGTATTTCACACGACCAACGTTATTCCCAACGGAATGTTCTGATAATGAGTTTTGAACGAAAAATAAGGCTGTAATGCCCACATAGAGCAAGGTAGAAAACATTGACTGTAAAAAAATACTTTATGATATTGCAGCAAAGGTTATAAGCTTTATCTATATTCAGTTAAGAAACCAATTAGAAAGATAAACTTTCTATGTTATTTAATACCATCAATAGCAAAGCGTTTTCAATTCACATGTTCTCGAACATTCGTGAATATGATTATAATTGGTGAAATACGTCAGCATTTTTCTAGAAGCCTAATAAGAGCCTCTGGTGTGGAGAGATGCGAAAATTTCGCGAGTAAACACGAGTTGGCAATTTTAATTTTCCAAGTTAGAATATGCAGAAGACATACGAGTGTTTCTTCAGTCATTCAAAAATAACAAGGCGCAGGAAAAGAGAATGTAATGAGAAGTACAGTCTTTGTTTTTTTCTTTCCAACGTGGAAAAAGTAACGATAGAGTGACTAATTCTACATCTGTATTTTAAGTGGTTGATATTTGAATAAATTCTACGTACCAATCTTAAGAGAAGAGTTGATTATGGCTTGTTCAGTGACTCTGGAACGGCTTCAGTGCCCAATAACAAGGGATATAATGGAGGATCCAGTTATAGCTGAAGATGGATATACATATGAGCGAGCAGCCATCACGCGGTGGATAAATGATAAACATACAAGTCCTTTGACACGTATTCCGTTGCGAGTATCAGAATTGCGACCGAATCGAGCTGTTAAAGAGCTTATTGACGCTTATCGAGAACAGTCTCAAAATCACCAAACAGCAGTAAATATCGTGTTTATTACACTGACGAAATTTGACAAGTATCAGAATATTTTAGACATCAGAAGGAGAAGGGTCACATTCCATTCCAAGAAGTGTCATTGTACAGCCAGAAAATCTAGCAGTCACACAATCAATTTTAAATAAACCTACGCATACTCGTTTCAGAACAGAAGCTCCACCATTTTCTCCGGTTTCACGCATAGCTGAGCATCCGCGTCGCTACGTATCACCATATGATGACATTATAAATAATAGGTTCTACTTCCCAGGCGAATTAAATAGAACGTTCGCTCCAACATGTCAATCACGGGCACGCAGCTCAGTTCGTACCCCCAACTTCTCAAACTTATTTTCAACTATTCAGAATAGTAACGAAATCTGCTATCGTCCCTCACATCCATACACTTCAGCATACAATCATCGATTTATTCCTAACCAATGTAATGTTAATATTCGCAATGGTAGCATCGATTATTCTCCTAATGTTTCATTCACTGGGAATAGAAATCAAAATAATTACGAACCAAGACAACACAGAACAAATGGATATGTTCATACCCTACCCAATCATCGCCGTCAAACAGTGTCGAATAATCCTTCTACTATCAGCAATCCAGCAGTCACACCCTCGGCTTCACCGTCAAGAAATAGTGGAACTAGTAGTTTGTGCGGTATGATTTCTTCCCATCGTTGTTGTGTGTTCATGCTTTGCTGTACTATACTTATAATTGTATGCGTTGTTGTTATCGTCCCTGTTGTTTTAAAGCTGCAATCAAATTTACCGACCACAATCCTCACGACAACGACGACAACAACAACAACAACCATCACTACACAAGCGGATGGATACAAATCTAAATCATGTGAATCTATCTATAGAAGTAGCTTCTGTAGTGTTAATTGGTCGTTACTATTGCTACATATTGGCATTGCTCGACTTAGCAGATATTTTTAATTAGGAATAAAACTATTTCGATTTTGTATGAAATATAAATGATGATGTTGCTGAGCATATTCCTCGCAGTTTAAAAAGTTTCATTAAAAGCTGCTTTATTAAAATGAAATAATACAATTGTTTATCATAAGGAACAGTAAATAAAAAATCTTTCATATTTACTCTTACAGATTAGAGTCTGAAATCTAATTAAAATGTAGCGACGTGACCAGCGCCAATGACTTCACAACACTTACTTGTTGAAAGTACGTCTACTGAGTACTTGTAGAACGCAGAAATCAGTACAGCGTTCCAACTGATCGGTAGATATGAATACAGCTCTTCGATAATTCATGCGAGCGAATGTTGCAAATCTATGAATACAACCTCACCCTCATACCGTTACAAATGACATCGAGAAGAAATTTCGTCAATTGATTTAACAATTAAAATAAATTCAAAAAGAAAATCAAATCAATTTAGATCATCTTAAGAGTCGGTGAACACTAATCGTCAACGATTTTCTTGATCCATCGAAGATTTCAATTCAACATGATCTCCAGATAATTTCGATCCAAACATCTTTAGGTAAACTATGCAAATTTGAATAAAATGTTATTTTCGTTTTTTTTCCTTTAGAATCAATCTATCACTAATGGGGTTCACAGGGAATCGTAGTAGCCGATGGGAACGGTCATGGTGTAAACCTAAACCAACTTTCAAGCCCTTAAGGATTCTTCATTGAAAAAAAACAAACAAACTTTGATGATTGCTGATTACGACAGCCGTTGTATCGCGGAATGGAAAGCTGATGAAAGGGAAGACAGTGATATTGTAAATGAATCTAAGAATAATCTGAAAGAGTAAGTGTTGTATTTAACTGATGTGCTTTTCGGTGAACAAACAAAACCGCTCATTAAAAGTAATGTCGAATATGGAAATCGACGAGTTATTCAACGGTTTGAAGATGAAGAGTAACCTAAAGAAACAATTATCGATAATATCGATTGCTATGGTTTAGCAAAGGGCAAGCATGGATATATTTACGGTTCGGAAGAAAAACGAAATTAGGCGATGGAAGCAGGACAACAATCAAGCAGTTCCAGTGCCGAGTGATAATGGTAAAGACGATTGTCACGATCAATTAAATCGTCCTACGTTTATTTTCGTTGATGATGAACAATCGATTTATAAATTTCAAAGACTTCTCAGCTAAATTAATGAAATTTCAAACGAACGAGAGAGAGAAAGTTGTTTTGTTTGCCACGAAAGTTTACCTTAACACGAATAGATTTCATATTTTTTTGCAGGGACAAGTGAATGCAAAAACAGTCGAGTATAAAAATTGTGTTGTCTGTGTTTACTTTTGCATTGCAAAGAAAGCTTTTCTGCTTTTTTTACCCACGCACTCAGTGCCATGCACTATGTTACCCACGTAAGTGTGCGTTGGCATGCAAAAAACACAAAAATAAACAGATGCCTGTACTTTTCACGTCCTCTTCTCTCTGAGAGAATGTTGACTGACGACGATCATTCATGTGAGACGCTTTGTTTTGTTTTTGTTACGTACAGTGACAAAACTATGATTAACTTTTTCACGAGTATAAAAAGACTGCTGCTCGGCAAGTGATTTCAAATCATCAACGAACAAAATCATGCAAGGGACATTAGTCTTCGTTCTATTGGTATCGATTATCAGTGTAGTTCAATCACAAACATGGGAAGGCAATTATACAACCGATTCGTCCTGTGATACAACCAGCTGTTGTTGTCTGAGCGGCAAAGTAATCGTAGCTTCTGGTGCGCCGAACGCTTATGCAGTGGTTTCTGGTGTCAATGGTGTATGTGGTGGCCAAACAATATTCACAGGCATCGCTTATACAAATGGATACTCCGGTTGGATGGTTGTTGGTTCTACCAATGACACACTTACACTGAGTAGTGACAGTCAAACTGTTACTGTAGTCAATCCTATCAATTCAGCTTGTAACGGTCGTGGAACGAAGAGTGCTGCCATGAAAGAGCATGGCAATATGAGCATGTTGTTTGGTATCTTAATCCTGCTTACGATGGCCTGGAACTACCGTAAATGAACAATTTCTTTACTCTTTGAACTCATTTTTCAGTAGTTTATAGATGTGTGTGTATCGCATTTTTTCCTCCTTTCATTAATCCACATTCAGACAAAGGCCTTGTAGTTTTATAATAGAACATCTTTTTTTACACATTTTTTTCAGTTTCATCTTCACATGAGCGGCAGAAAAAATTATTCTCTGTAGAAGTTTTCACACTATTAACCTTTTGAACGTTACCGACACCTATTGACGACATATATACGTTTATATTAACACAAACGATATGCTATTCAAACTATATTTTCTTTCCGTCTATAATAAATTATATAGAGCAAATAAAAAAAATCTCACATGACTTTTACTCTAAGAGTGATATATTTCTGTATTGCGAGTGAATGGATTTTAATTCGCATTCGGTGAGATTGCTTTAGTGTTGGCTGCGTGCGATGATTACATGCGTACAAAGCAGTTTAAGTCGATTCCTGCACTAAATTATGAATGTTAAATCAATTTTACTAGAATAAAAATCCTATATCTATTTGTTTAATTGTAAAATGTTGAAGAAAACAATTTCTAATCAGTGGAAATTAACTTGACAGTCAAAAAATTAATTTATAAAAATTCCCCGTCAGAAATAGATTTCACATTACCGAGTATATAACTGTGACGTCAATAGTAGATTGAGTATTCTTGAGGGATGTCAAAATTCTAACTACAGAATTATAGAATTTTGCTAAAGTATATAATTATTAGTTTCTTATTTAACAAGTATAAGAAAAACAAAATTCTTCAGAAAACTACTTCTTTACATCAGAATTGTGCATCTACACATGTCGACTGTAGTATGAATATAAAAGATCTAAGCAGAATTATGTTTTTCACAGCAGAATTCATCCAGAATTCTGGATTCTCTACAGAATTATGTATCTACACATGTCGATTGTAACATGAATATAAAAGATCTAAGCAGAATTATGTTTTTCACAGCAGAATTCATCCAGAATTCTGGATTCTCTACAGAATTATGTATCTACACATGTCGATTGTAACATGAATATCAAAAATCTAAGCAGAATTATGTTTTTCACAGCAGAATTCATCCAGAATTCTGGATTCTCTACAGAATTATGTATCTACACATGTCGATTGTAACATGAATATCAAAAATCTAAGCAGAATTATGTTTTTCACAGCAGAATTCATCCAGAATTCTGGATTCTCTACAGAATTATGTATCTACACATGTCGATTGTAACATGAATATAAAAGATCTAAGCAGAATTATGT